TATATGATATGCTCATCCTTGGTAGTAATAATGAAATGATCAAAGGTACCAAGAAAATGTTGAACTCTAAGTTTGACATGAAAGATATGGGAGTAGCAGATGTTATACTTGGAGAAAAAATTACAAAGACATCTGAAGGATATTCCTTGTCTCAAGGACATTATGTTGATAAAATACTTGAGAAATTTAACAAGCATAACGATCGTCTTGCTAAGACCCCTATAGATGCTAATCTTCATTTGATGAAGAATATGGGTAAAGGTGTATCACAAGTAGAATACTCCTAGATCATTGGAAGCTTAATGTACCTCATGAACTGCACATGTCCAAATTTTGCATATGCAGTTAGCAGATTAAGTAGATACACAAGCAATCCAGGAACAGACCACTGGACAACAATAGTTAGGGTACTTAGCTATCTAAAGTATACTCGAAACTTTGGGCTGAACTGTATGAGATATCCTACAGTGTTAGAGGGTTATAGTGACGCTAATTGGATCTCAGACACTAAAGACTCCAAGTCTACTAGTGGTTATGTCTTTACCCTGGGAGGAACAGCATTCTCATGGAAGTCATCCAAACAGACATGCATTACAAGGTCCATAATGGAGTCCGAGTTTATCGCTTTAGATAAAGCAGGAGAAAAAGGAGAGTGGCTTCGTCACTTTCTAGAGGATATCCCAATGTGGCCAAAACCTATGCCAGCCATTTGTATTCATTGCGAAAGTCAAGCAGCAATGGCAAGAGCACAAAATAATATGTATAACGGTAAGTCTCGTCATATTCGACGTAGACACAATATTGTTAGGCAACTGCTCTCAAATGGAATTATCTCCATTGAGTACATAAGGTCAAAAGATAATATCACGGATCCCTTAACCAAAGGTTTGACCATAGAGCAAGTGTTAAGATCATCAAGGGGAATGGGATTAAAGCCTACTAACTAAAGAGTCGTCTTAATGGCAACCCAACCTAGCTAACTGGAGATCCCAAGGTCTAGGTTCAAAGGGACAACCGAATTATGTATGACTCATAAGTATCATTAAGAGGCATTTTTTTCCCTTTCCTATAATGACATAGTGATGTCTGCAGCGTTAATCAGGTTAAGCTTTGCTTTTAATGACTTTCATATCTTGGAATTCCAAGTGGGATATAGCAGAAGACTCTTAATGAAAATCACCTATATGAATGTGAACTGGGCCGGTTCTATGAGAATTGGTAAAAGGCTGAATTCTCTAGAGCACTCAGGAAAACCAGGAATGGTCCAGGGCCAAAATGGGCACAACTGATAGAACCAAATTGTGTATGGAAATAAAATTGTGTAACAGACTGTTGTCTCGGTTTACACCAATGGCAGAATAGTTTAAAACATCATGTTCACTAATCAACCGGTAAACCCGATAATCTTTCACAAGGGAAGGTTTAAAGCCAAAAGCTACATATACTTTGCAGGATATTTTCAGTTTTGTACTCTCAGTGTCTGCATGTTGTTGCATATTCGTTTTCAATTTCATTCATGTGGGGGATTGTTAGAGAAAAATGGTTTATCACCATTAATTTCCGGTAATTTTGAGTTATCATTAATGTAGGACCCATACCTCGGTTTTGGTTGGTCCGTGTGGCAACACGTTCCTTGCCATGTGGTGAACAAGAATATATACTCGGGTGGTCAAAACTATTTTCGAGTGAATGAGAAATTGATACCGAAGTGAGCCTTATGAACATGAATATATTTGGTGTGGTTCCCCATCAGTTGGTATCTAAAACCTTGTCCCACATAGGAAACATGTAAGAGTTTCTATGAGTTTATAAGCTCTAAGTTGGAGACCTTGGGTTGGGCCCCAAAGGGTACCCAAGTTTTGTAGGAGGAGGAGTTATGGACGAACCCAAACCATTACCACATGTGCGCGCCGCCGCCTCCGGCCGAGTCGAGGCGGGCGCAAGTGTGGGTATGGGTATGGGTCAAACTCGTCCTTATTTTTTGCTCCAAAATTATTTGAATATTTTGAATAATTTTCTTCAAAAAATTCAAAATCTGAAATTTTGAATTTAAATTTTTTCGGTTGCAACTCTTCTCCATCTCCAACCAGTCGCGTCTCTGATCTGGTGACTGTTCGTCACAACGGTCTTCTATTTCGAAAAAGGCACTTCTCTGCCTATATATATTAACCCTCCATTCCAAAACCATAGAGAGCTTTTTCTTTTCCTTTTCAGTCTTCTCCTATCGCTACTTCATACAGTCTTCATCTTGCATTCTGTGTCTATATACTGAAAGTTTGATAACACAGCTTGGTTCGCTGTACAAATAGTACGCGGTGCTGCATTTGTTTGGGGTGATTGTTGAATCTTAAAGGCAGGACGTCCATTATTCTCAAGCACCTAGGTGAGGACGAATTTCTGTCTTAAAGACACAGTGTCCAAACACTGGCCTCAATTACAAATTTGTTCTAAGTTTGATTCTACAGAAAGTTGTAAGTTATCTCTAGTTCTGTATTTAATTATTTTCTTGTTTATTAATCTGTTAAATTAATTATTATTGAAAAATATTTCCAACAAATGGCGGATGGGAGGTTATTCGATTCAACTTGATGGCACGTTATGATTTTAGGGAGTATAGGTCATGATATATGAATTTATTGTTCAATAAATTTTATAATAATTAATGACGTTTTTTGTCAAATATTATAAAAAAATGTCACTAATTATTAATTTTCAGCGATAGTTTAAAAATTTTATTATAAAAAATGTTCCTAATTATAAATTTTAGCGATGGTTTAAAAAAATCGTTACAAAAAAGGTCACTAATTTTTAATTTTTAGCAACATTTTAAAAAATTTGTTACAGAAAAACTCATTAATTGTAAAATTTAGTGATAATTTATAAAAATCGTGATACAAAAAAAGGTTTGTCAATTTTTAGTGGCATGTGCAAAAAATCGTCACAAAAATTATTTTTAATAACGATTTTACTAGTACTTATTTCAATAGAACTTAATAAGAATTAAGTCAAACTATTAACATCTATTAATAATTTACCCGTAAATTTATGTTTTGTGTTAAAAAAATTATTTAATAATTTTATTTACTATTTATAAAATATAAAAAATTAATATATTTTTAATATAAAAGGGTTGTTTTTTTTAGGGTCCATGCTATTAAGATTTTATAACATAAATGGCATCTAATATTTTCATAATATCTAAGGTCCCTCAATTTAATCCAGAGAAATTTCATCTAGAGAATTTTTCTAGACTTCCCAGAGAAATTTTATCCAAAGAAATTCTAGACCAGAGAAATTATATGCAGAGAAATTCTGGACTAGAGAAATTCTCTTCAACCCAGAGAAATTCTCTGTTTCTCTCCAAAGAAATTTCCAAATTATGTAAAGAACTAATAGCTATGGTTTTTAACTCAAAAAAAAAAAAGGGGGCAAAACAACAACACCACCACCACCAGCACTGATGTAATACACACCATACAGATCCTACACAAAATTATTGCACTCAGTACAACCAAGAAACAAAATTCGGGATCCTACACAAAATTATTGCACTCAGTACAACCAAGAAACAAAATTCGGTTCTTTTGAAATTTCTCTAAGTTTAAATTAGAGAAATCCAGAGAATTTCTTTGGATTTCACAGAGAAATTCTTACCGGGGAAGAATTTTTTCTGGACTCACTTCAAGAAATGTACACACCAGACATAGCATACACAAAATTATTGCATTGAATACAACCAAGAAACAAAATTCGGTTCTTTTGAAATTTCTCTGAGTTGAGAATTTTTCTGAACTCACTTCAACTCAGAAAATTTTTCTCAAAACCAGAGAAATTTCCCTCACCAACCTAGAGAAATTCATTCAAATCAGAGAAATTTCCCCTCTCCAAATCACTCAACCCAGAGAAATTCACAACTTAGAAATTCCATTTTCTGTCACTATTCAAATCTGACCACTTAGCATGCTTGATCTTCTCAAGTTGAACCTGAGTATCCTTGAACAGTTGCATCCTCTTAACCTCCAAATCTTTAGCTAATTGCATCCTCTACTTCTCCTATTTAATCATCTACCTCTGCTTCTTCATTTCCTCATAAAATATGAATCATCCACCACCAGAGACAGCCGTTTCTAAAGAACACCACTTGCTGGACCACCAGCCCCCGCGATGGCTACTGGTACACCAAAGGCATTGCTAACGGCGAAGAAAGAGCCTTTTTGGCTGGTGTGGTTGTAGATCCGATCAAGTAATCAAGGTGGGGGATGAAGGACCAAGAGTTAGTGATTGATCCGTTAGATTCAGAAACCCTAAACCTCATTTCATGTACACCTTGTTCTTGCGGATCGATTTAATCACCTCCGGAGATGCATTCTTCATGTCGCCTTGGACTTGGTAGTGATCGAAGTACACCGGCGCATGCATTGCCTCCATGACTTGTTTGACGGCACTGGTGACCAGAGGTCCGATTCTGTTGCCGAAAATCAGAGTGATGGCTCTTGGAGCGCCATCTTTGGGTCGAGACATGTACGTTACGGATCGTGATGGTGATCAAGTGCAGAGTTGTTTGAGGATGGATGTGAATCGACGAGCCATTCATGTGGAGGACTTTGATTTAATTTTTGATTGAATTTCTTGACAGAATCAGAGAGGTTTGAGAATGGAGAAGTTGAAAGAGAGAGAAAGAGAAATGAGTTTTGATTTGATAGAGTCAAATTTCTCTGTGATATATAGGTGTAGTGTTGAGGAACCTTAGACATCACAAAATAAAATTGTGAATCTCTTTCATTACTAAAAATAAGATAGGGACTTTAAACTAATTTTCCTTATAAAAAATGGAGAATCAAAAATTTTGGACTCATAATAATAAAAAATTATTAAAAATTAATAATAAAAACTCAAAATATTAAAGTTCAAAATGTAAAATCGATTCTCATCCACTCGTTAACTAAACCAACTATGGCAGTAGAATACTCGATCCGATCCAATCCGATCCGATCCGCCGCGAGCACCACCTGATAATACCTCCAAAAACGTTTTTGGAAATCAAATTTGTTTCGGCTTTCTCCAAAAGCGACAAAAACAACCAAACGAGTCCCCATTTCAGCTACAGGAACAGGTAAGAGAGAAAGAGAGCGGGGGGTTAGGGTTTCGCTTCGTTTCTATGCCTTGTACGTGCTCTGAGAATTGTTCTCATCGAGAAGAATCAGATGTTTCAGTCCTCAAAGGTTAGTCATTTCATTCCAGAAAGCTTCAATCTTTGTGCTATGTAGCATCAGGATTCAATTTCTTCATTTGAATCACTTCATTGTCTATGAAATAAGGTTTTCGCGTTTGTGTCTGAGAGGAAAACTGTAGTTTTCGCTCTGGACTTGTAATGCTGGTCTGTCCTGTGATTGTTTGAGTTCATAGTGTTTTGGATCTTTTTGGTACATTGAGAATTGAAATTGGGTTTACATGTGATGGTTGAATAAGCATTGACTGTTGGGAAACTAGGGTTGTTGGTGGAATTGGTCGAGGGATTTTAGAATTTTACATCTCCTTTTGCAGGAACTGAATTGGGTTTAAAATTTGGTGGTTTAAGAAGCACTGATATTGAGTTAATGATGTTTTTGGGTATTGATACCATGGGGTGAACTGAATTGTGTTTAAATTTTGGTCGTTTACGAAGCACTGAGATTGGGTTAGTGAGGTTTTTGGGTATTGGTACCATGGGTGAAATTGCGGGAACTTCCGAATCTGGTTCTACTAGAGAATTGAGTTCACAGCTAGTGAGGGTTTGGTCTTCTCGCGAGGAGGATAGTTCACGCAGGCAAGCGACTCATTTTGGGGGTAGTGGGTCAAGGAATACGAGCCCTCTAGGCCGAGCTGGTTCAAGGAATACTAGTCCTTCTAGGCAGAAGGTGATTAAGACTAAACCAAGGGGCTTAGATGAGGAGATGATTTCTACATTTGCTAAGGCCACTCACCCTGATGTGCAAATGGAAGATAATATATGGGCAATGTTACCTGAAGATCTGTTGAATGAAATCTTAGCCAGGGTTCCTCCATTCATGATTTTCCGGCTCCGATCCGTTTGTAAACGATGGAATTCAATTTTACAGGACAATAGTTTTCTTAAGTTTCATTCACAAGTGCCATCCCATGGGCCTTGTCTTCTCACATTTTGGAAGAATTCACAGACCCCGCAGTGTTCGGTGTTTAGCTTGCCATTGAAACAATGGTATAGGATCCCGTTCACATTTTTACCACAATGGGCATTCTGGTTGGTTGGTTCATCAGGTGGTCTTGTTTGCTTCTCTGGACTCGATGGGTTGGCCTTTAAAACTTTAGTTTGTAACCCTCTCACACAGACATGGAGGACATTGCCGAGTATGCATTATAATCAGCAAAGGCAGTTGATTATGGTTGTTGATAGGATTCACAGATCATTTAAGGTTATAGCCACTAATGATATTTATGGGGACAAGTCATTGCCAACTGAAATATATGATTCAAAGCTTGACTCTTGGTCGCTGCATCAGACAATGCCTGCCGTGAATCTTTGTTCCTCAAAGATGGCATTTTGTGACTCAAGGTTGTATCTGGAGACTCTTTCGCCGCTTGGTTTAATGATGTATCGTCTGGACACTGGATACTGGGAACACATTCCAGCTAAATTCCCAAGGTCTTTGTTGGATGGGTATCTAGTGGCTGGCACTCAGAAACGTCTGTTTTTAGTTGGAAGGATTGGTCTTTACAGTACTCTTCAAAGTATGAGAATATGGGAATTGGATCATGCAAAGATCGCCTGGGTTGAAACAAGTAGGATGCCACCAAGGTACTTTCGAGCTCTTTTGAGGTTGTCTGCTGAGAGATTCGAGTGTTTTGGCCAGGATAATTTGATCTGCTTCACATCTTGGAACCAGGGGAAGGGCTTGCTCTATGATGTGGATAAGAAGGTTTGGTCTTGGATTGCTGGCTGCGCTCTGCAGTCCTACAACAGCCAAGTTTGTTTCTATGAGCCAAGATTTGACGCTTCAATTCATTAATCAGGTTTAAGCTTTCCAATATTCATCTCTCTCTTCTTCTTCTTCATCGGGTGTTACTCTTTCTGCTTCCCTTATGCATGAGCAAGGTTCTTCAAATTGGGCCGTGTCTGGTGTCTCCTTCCTTTGTTTGGCTAGTGTCTCCATTTGCTTAAGATAGGGCAGCTTAGGGAGATCTAATCTTGTCCCCAAGAATTCTACAATAGAGCTTTGGTTCTCACTTTTTAACAGGTATCTGGAGGATGTCGGTTTTCATGATTGGCAATTGGACGCGGGCTGGGTTTTATTAGAGGTCTTACTTTGAGGATCATGACTTTTTGGGGAGAGAATTTTTTCCAATTTGTGTACGCCAATTGAAATTGTTTATCAAATGCAAGGTGCCTTTTCTTAAGCATTTCATGTTTCTTTGCTTATATATTGCCATGATGAGTCATTTACATTATTATGACTTATTGTCCCAAGATTATATTTCATTTATGTTCTGTGATGGAAAGATTCCCAAAATGGAAGTTGTTGAATGAGAGAGCAATGGATGGTATGTCTATTAAAAGGGATGTAAGAATTATAGAGATGTAGAGTTCGGGTTTAATAGATGCTAATTGATGTCTTACTTTTTACTGTACTTTGTTATTTTGACCAATATTTAGATGAATAAATATTATTAAATTTTGAACGATTTTAAAACATTATGAATGGTGTGTCTAATCAATATAAATTTTTTTTTTTTTTAAATTTGAAGTTAAAAGACTAACGGTCTATTTTAACTAAGGCGAGCAGGACGTTTTGTTCATGTTGCATGGGTGAATAAAACCAAACTCACTTTTTATTTTTACTAATTTTTACCTATTAGTTGAATATTACAGCAAACCTGCTCTGAGTCTCGATAAGGTCCATTATGGGTTCATAAAAATAATGATTCCTTCGTCTTGTAGAACATTAATAGATTATTTATATAAAGAATTAAATTGATTGGATATCAGGAGTCATATAATCGTATCATATTTGTTATAAAAATAGATATATTATCATGTAATTAATTTAATTTTTTGCAATGTCATTATAATGTGCATAAATTGTGAAATTTGTTATGTCCAATGAATCTTTTTTTTTCCTTCTTTCTATCCAATAGTTCTAATAATTGTTTAAAAGATTTACATCTTAAAATATTCACATGATTTAATTATTGTTATTATTATGAGTATTTTGAAATGGACGGGAAAAAAAATTAAGAATAAAAGATCTTGGCCCATTCGATAGAAACTTTTCTGGCCCAAAATAAATGCCATAGGTTAGGAGTCCTAGATGACTATTAATCAAAAAATTATGGGCTTCACTATCTTAAAAATAAAAATTATGGGCTTTATTAACCAACTTATATCGCTTTAAATTTTAGAGTTTATTTATATTTTTTATTAGGCTTTTGTTAGTACATTTACTCTTATTTGTATAGAAAATAACACAGCATTAAAAACTATCTTAATTTAAGATTGTTTATATTTATAATGAGACCAAAGTACCCTTTTTGGTTTGGACCATTCTCCTCCTTTATTTTTTATTGAACTTTTTAAATATATTTTTTCTAAAAAAAATTAAAATTTAGTTTGGTGAAAAATAAAATTTTTAAAAACCAAACACTTATTTTCATATGATTTTTTTTGGAAGATAAAATAACTTTTAAAATTCAAATATATATTTATATTTAGTTTTGTCAAAAAAAAATTATAATTTAAAAAATATAAATTTTATATACAAATTCTAAAAATTTAATCAAATAAAAATATTTTGCAACTAAAGTTTTTTTGTGCATTCATAAATGTTGGTTGAGTTCTCACCATACTAGAACCATTCAAACAAAAATTAAAAAATATATATATATATATATAAAATGTTATTTGTTTTATTTTTTAATTACACATACATAGTAGTTAAAGACCGTAATAAATTGGTTTTTGATGATCTTTCCAACCCACTTCAGACCAACCTCAAGAACATCTACCTATATGTTCAAGAGATTGGGGAGGCTTTTCTCTCCCCTCTTTGCTCACAACCTACAACACCTAAACTAATTAAATGGTGCTGCCCATCTGCAGGTAAACTTAAACTCAATACTGATAGATGCTCCAAAGGAGACCTAAGGCAGGCAGGCTATGGAGGTCTGCTACGAGATAAAGCTGGTACTTGGATATGGGGTTACTATGGCAAGTTAGGCATTGTTGGAAAATGACTTTTGTGTAACCTTATTTTTTGCTAACTTTGAGCATTAATTAATGTGTGACCCAAACATTATTTTTAACATTTCTAATTGGGTTCATGGTTTAATGTCGCATAGTGAATAACATCGTGTATTTGGTTGTTCAAAACTATTTCCAGATGAATGAGAATTTAGCGCACGTTTTCAGGTTTGTGGAAATTGCTTTAGGTGGGTTTTCTACACATTTATGAAATGTACTTGTCCCACATTGGAAAGGCTTATGGATTTGTGTGGGTTTATGCAGTCTAGCTTGGGATACTTGGGATGGGCCCCAAGGGGTACCCAAGTTTGTGGAAGGGTGAGGTTATGGGTAAAATGGACTAGACCCATCGGACCCAAAATAAAAACCACATGCGCACGCCGCTGCTACCGTCCGTTCGAACGGGCTGGGCTTGGGCGCAAGTGTGAGGCGTGAGGTTGGGTTGGGCTTGTTCGGCCCAATACTTATTTTTTTGGGCAAAAAACATTTGTAATTTATTTATTTATTTTCAATTTTGGTTTCAAAATTCAAAATAAATTTGGTCCAGTTTTTTCCTTCACCTAAACAGATCCCTAACGGGTTCATACCCACCCGAATAGGTTCGAAGGGTTCAAAACAGGTTCATTCTTGTTGAATTCAAACTGAATCTATCCGAACAGTTTCCATCTGTTTGGCACCTGTTCGGTATAAGCTACCATTCCTCCTGTAAATAGTCGGCCATCCAACATTCATTTCAATCGAATTTTTTCCAAAACTTTTCTCTTTTTTCTTCTGTTCATCCTCCTGTTACTCTTACATCTGTTTACATTTTAGTCTCTAGGAAAAGAAAGAGAAAGAGTTACAGCATTGTTAGTTCGCAAGACTTGTTTTGTAGTGCTGCAAATTAAGTAGCAGTCGTTGCATCCTGGGAAGTAGACACCATTAATATTTGAAGCACTAGTGCGAGGGTGAAATCTACTTTAAGGGGATTGTGTCCAACACATGCCTCAACGTTTAAAGTTTTTGCAAGCAATCAATTCGGAATTTAATTTATATAATTATATTCTGAATTATATTATTTTGTTGTTTATTTTAATTATACATTTAATTTACACACACACACACACTACTGTGGGAATGACAATCTTAAAGTAGATTTACGTTTTTATTTATTTCTGTGTTAGACAGATGAATATTTTGTTTCGGAAAATTAAATAGTAGTCATATACTGTTTAATTTCTTAAATAGTAGTAATATAGTGTTTAATGATTTCTTTGATAACATAATAGTAATATATTGTTTATCATTCGAATTTTGTTACAAAATATTATTCTGTATATTTTGTGTGTAAATTCTTTTCTGTATAAATTTGTGTTTAGTGTATTATTACTTCGTCAGAAAGGTGACAACTGAAATAAACAGTACTGAGACTATTATTACTCCGACCCCCACACTTGTTGTGCCAGTGATGACTCCGACAATACCGATAAATCATGGGGAAAAGCCAAAAAAATTCAATAGAAATGATTTTAAAAGATGGTAACAAAAGATGATATTTTATCTTACGACATTGAATATGGCTCGCTCCAAACATGAAAAAGCTCCGGCACCGAACGAGGGAGAAACTGACTGGCAAGTGGTTGCCCAGTCGATGCATGGAAACATGGTGATTTTCTGTATCGAAATTATATCCTCAATGGGTTGGACAATACATTGTACAATATACTGCAAAAGAACTGTGGGAATCTCTAGATCATAAATATAAGACAGAGGATGCCAATACAAAGAAATTTGTTGTCGGCCATTTTCTGGATTTTAAAATGATAGATTCCAAGGTAGTTATAAGCTACATTCAAGATTTTCAATTAATTCTCCATGACATACATATGGGAGGGATGGTTCTCAGTGAATCTTTCCAAGTAGCGGCAATCATTGAAAAATTACCACCATCCTGGAAAGAATTCAAGAATTATCTAAAGTATAAGCGCAAAGAGATGAAATTAGAGGAACTGATAGTGCGGCTTAGAATTGAGGAGGACAATCGTGGTTCCGACAAGAAGTCAGGAAACCATATCATGCAGGCTAAAGCAAATGTTGTGGAATATAGACAAGGGTCAAAGTTCAACAATAAGAAGTGGAAGCATGATGGAAATTTTCCCAAAACAAGGACCCACTAATAAGATCAACAAAGAAATCAACAACGAGTTCAACAAGAGTTTCAAAGGCAAGTGTTTTGTGTGCGACAAAGATGGACATCGCGCTAAGGATTGTCACATTCGCAAGAACGGAGGGAGTTCAAGCAAAAAGCCAACACAAGCCAACATAGCCGAGGATTTTTATCTTTCCGATAGAGTGGCAGACATCAATCTTGCTGCAGTAGTCTCTAAGGCAAATTTGGTAAGCAATCCCAAGGAGTGGTGGGTGGATACTAGAACCGCCATATCTGTGCAGATAATAAGATATTCACAACCTACAAAGTGGTGGAAGGTGGGGAACAATTTTTTATGAGAAACTCCTCCACTTCAACTGTAGAAGGACAAGGAAAGATCGTGCTGAAAATGACCTCGGGGAAAGAATTCACTCTTAACAATGTACTCTATGTGCCTGAGATTCGCAAGAATTTGATTTCTAGGTCATTGTTAATCAAGAATGGGTTTAAATTAGTCTTTGAATTTGACAAGGTTGTACTCTCCAAAAGTGAAATGTATGTGGGGCGAGGTTATATGAGTGATGGGCATTTTAAGCTCAATGTACTAACTGTTGTACCAAAATTGGTTATTAATAATAAGAATACATCTTCTGTTTATATTGTTGAGTCTTTTTTTTTTATGGTATGGTAGATTAGGACATATTAATTTTAATTCTTTGCGTAGACTTGTTTCTTTAGAATGTTTGCCAAACTTAGAGTTTGATCCTAATCATAAATATGAGATTTATGTTGAGGCAAAATTCACTAAGGCATCATTTAATAAATTCGAAAGAAGTACTGAACCTCTAAATTTAATTCACACAGATGTCTGTGATTTAAAATTTGTTCAAACTAGAGAAAGTAAAAAGTACTTTATTACTTTTATTGATGATTGCACTCGATATTGCTATGTTTACTTATTGAGAAGTAAAGATGAAGTCTTAGAAACTTTTAAGCAATATAAACTTGAGATTGAAAATCAACTTGGCAAAACTATTAAGATAGTGAGGAGTGACAGAGGTGGTGAGTATGATGCACCATTTGAAGAATTTTGTTCTAAACATGGCATTATTTACCAAACCACTGCACACTATTCTCTTTAGTCAAATGGAGTTGCTAAGCGAAAGAATCGAACTCTTAAAGAGATGATGAATGCTATGTTGATTAGTTCAGGGTTACCTCAGAACTTGTGGGGGGAGGCGATTTTGTCTGCTAACTTTATTCTTAACAGGGTATCCCACAAGAAAATTAATCAAATTCCTTATGAATTATGGAAAGGTCAATGACCTACCTACAATTACCTCAAAGTGTGGGGGTCTTTGGCCAAGGTGGCAGTCCCTAGCCTCAAAATGACAAAGATAGGACTAAAAATTGTTGATTATGTGTTCATTGGTTATGCAAATAATAGTAGTGCATATAGATTTTTAGTTCATAGATCTGAAAATCCTGATATACATGTAAACATTATTATTGAGTCAAGGAATACATCATTTTTCGAACACATTTTTCCTTGTAAGGAAACTAAAAAGACAAGTTCAAATAAAAGAACTTTTGATACTGCTATAGGTAGTAGTGAAGACCAAAATGATAATGAAGCAGATGAACCTAGACGTAGCAAGAGAGCTAGGATATCTAAATCATTTGGTCTAGATTTTTTGGCATACCTGTTAGAAAATAAGCCTCCAAAACTTCAAGGAAGCAATGTCAAGTCCTGAAGCTCCATTATGGAAAGAGGCTGTGAATAGTGAAATTAAATTAATTCTGCAAAATCATACTTAGGAACTGGTGGATCTTCCACCAGGGTGTAAACCTCTTGGATATAAGTAGGTATTCAAGAGAAAAATAAAAAAAGATGGTTCAATTGATAAATATAAGGCTATGCTTGTTGTTAAGGGTTAAAGGCAGAAGGAAGACCTTGATTATTTTGACACCTATTCACCAGTGATAAGAATAATATCTATTCGTATGTTAATTGCGATTGTAGCTTTGTATAATCTGGAGATACATCAAATGGATGTTAAAACAGTCTTTTTGAATGGCGAGTTAGATGAAGAAATCTATATGGACCAATCAGAAGGGTTTCAAGTTCCCGGCCAAGTGAAAAATGTTTGTAAACTTGTCAAATCCTTTTATGGATTAAAACAAGCTCCGATACAATGACATGAAAAATTTGATCACGCCATGATTTCGGATGGCTTTAAGATAAATGAATGTGACAAATGCGCCTATGTTAAAAGCACAGATAAAGGCTATGTTATAGTTTGTCTTTATTTGGATGACATGCTTATTATTGGAAGCAATAATGACATAATTAAATCCACAAAGAAAATGTTGAACAAAATGTTTGACATGAAAGATCTAGGAGTAGCAGATGTAATTTTAGGAATAAAAATTACTAGAACATCTGAATGATATGCTTTATCTCAGTCTCACTATGTTGAGAAGATTCTGAAGAAATTTGGAAAACATGACGTCCGTTCTACTAAAACACCTGTTGACATTAGTCTTCATTTGTCAAAAAATACAGTGTAGGCATATCACAATTAGAGTACTGTCGGATAATTGGAAGTTTGATGTACTTAATGAATTGCACTAGGCCAAATATAGCCTATGTTGTAAGCAAATTGAGTAGGTACACAAGTAATCCAAGGTCTGATCATTGGAAAGCAATAATTAGGGTACTTAGGTATCTAAGATATACCCAGAATTATGGCTTACATTATACCAAATATCCAGCAGTACTCGAGAGGTACATCGATGTAAATTGGATATCGGATATGAAAGACTCAAAATCCACTAGTGGATACGTCCTTACCCCGGGAGGTACTGCTGTCTCTTGGAAATCCTCTAAATAGACATGCATAGCAAGGTCAACAATGGAATCTGATTATCACATTAGATAAAACAGGAGAAGAAGCAGAATGGCTTCGTAATTTCTTAGAAGACATTCCAATGTGGCCTAAACCTGTGCTAGCTATATGCATTCATTGTAATAATGAAGCAGTAATATGACAGCCACAGAATCATATGTATAACAGTAAGTCTCGACACATTTGGTGAAGACATAATACCGTTAGGCATTTGCTCTCACATGGAATAATTTCCATAGAATATGTAAAGTCAAAGAAGAATATTGCGGATCCATTGACTAAAGGGTTAGCCAGAGAGCAAGTGTACTATTTATCGAGGGGAATGGGATTAAAGTTTGTTACTTAAAAGTCGCTATAATGGCAACCTAACCTAGTTGACTAGAGATCCCAGGATCTAGGTTCAAAGGGACAACCGAATTATGGATGACTTCACGTAAAGTCTCCATAATAGCAATCCAACCTAGTTGACTGGAGATTTCAAGATCTAGGTTCAAAAGGACAATCGAATTATGGATGACTTCACGTATCACTAAGGAGGTTTTCTCTTACCCATTTCTATGATAAGAAGAGTGATACCTACAACGTTTGTAGGATAAGCTTTGCTTTTAATAATTCTTATAGCTTGGACATCTAAGTGGGGTATGGTAGGATACTCTTAATAAGAAGTCACCTATATGTGTGTAAATTGGGCCGGTTCTGTAAGAATTGAGAAGGCTAAATTCTCTAAAGCACTCATGAATTATTAGGCGTTGTTCAGGGCTAAAATGAACACAACCGTAAGAACCAAACTGTGTCCGCAGATACACTATGCGTAGTCTATTGTCTTGGCTTACACAAACAGCTGAGCAACTCAGGGCATTGCGTCCATTAGTTAGCTAGTAAGTTTGATAGGCTTTCACCAGAGGAGGTTCAAAGCCAAAAACTACCTATCTTGATGTGGTGTATCTTCTTAATGTACTCTTTCTTTGTCTGCATCTTGTTGCATGTCCGTTATAGTGAATTTCATTCATGTGGAGGATTGTTGGAAAATGACTTTTGTATAACTTTATTTTTTGCTATCTTTGAGCATTAATTAAGGTGGGACCCAAGCGTCATTTTTAACATTTCTAATTAGGTTCATGTTTAATGCCGCATAGTGAATAACATTGTATATTTGGTTACTCAAAACCATTTCCGGGTGAATAAGAATTCAACGCACGTTTTCGAGTTCGTGGAAATGGCTTTAGGTGGGTTTCCTACACATATGTGAAGTGTGCTTGTCCCACATTGGAAATGCTTATGGATTTGTATGGGTTTATATACTCTAGTTTGGGATACTTTGGATGGACCCCAAGGGGTACCCAAGTTTGTGGAAGAGTGAGGTTATGGGTAAATGGACTAGACCCATTGGACCCAAAACAAAAACCACACACGCGCTCCGCCATCCGTCCAAGTGGGCTGGTCTGGGCTGGGCTGGGCTTGGGCGCGGGTGCGAGGTGTAAGGTTGGGTTGGGCTTGTCTGACTCAATACTTATCTTTTTTGGCCAAAAACATTTGTAATTTATTTATTTATTTTTAATTTTGGTTTTCAAAATTCAAAATAAAATTGGTCCAGTTTTTTCCTTCACCCAAACAAATCCCTAACGGGTTCATATCCACCCGAATAGGTTCAAAAGGTTCAAAATAGGTTCATACCTGTTAAATTCAAACTGAATCTGTCCAAACAGTTTCTATCTGTTTGGCACCTGTTCGATATAAGCCACCATTTCTCCTATAAATAGTTAGCCATCCAACATTCATTTCAATCGAAATTTTTTCAAAACTCTTTCCTTTCTTCTTCTGTTCATCCTCTTGTTGCTCATGCATCTGTTTACATTTAGTCTCTAGGAAAAGAAAGAGAAAGAGTTATAGCATAGTTTGGTTTGCAAGACTTGTTTTGTAATGCTGCAAATCAAGTAGTAGTCGTTGCATCATGGGAAGTAGACACTATTAATACTCGAAGCACCGGAGCGAGGGTGAAATCTACTTTAAGGAGATTGTGTCCAATACAAGCCTCAACGTTTAAAGTTTCTATAAACAATTAATTCAGAATTTAATTTATATAATTATTTTCTTAATTATATTTTTTATTATTTATTTTAATTAGACATTTAATTTACATACACACGCCACTGTGGAAATGACAGGCAATTGCTTAAGTCTAGAGGCAGAGATATGGGTCATCTATAAAGGACTCACCATACTCTTCTCAAAAGGCACCAAAGATGTTTAAATAGAATCTGACTCTGAACAAGCTATCAATCAAATCTTGCATGGACTAGTTCAACTCTCTAATTTTCATATGAATCCAAAAAAAAAAAAGAAAAAAAAATTTGTCTAACAAAAACAAGGGGTGGTTATGTCCATATGAATAAAAAAATGAAGTCTTCAAAAACATCATAATTAATTTTTATTGTACCCTTACATTCCCCATACAAGACCAAGATATTAAAATTCATTTATTACTTTATTAACTTGTGCCCTTGAGGCCCATATTAACAAAAACTTTTTTTTATTAATAGGACTTGCTGATAATTATTCCTTTAACTAATATGTAATATGTTATCATTACATTACTAAATGATTCACAAACATTGTCGTGGCGTTTTGTATAAACAAATAAATTTGTATTTTTGTCTTTAATTTATTTCAAATCAATGCACCCACAATTGTGGCACATAATTTAAAAATATTATTTTATATGTTTTGTTTAAATATTCATTTGTATGAAATTTTTCATAACTAATTTAACAAATTATTTTTAGAGACATAACGCCAGTATATTCACCTCAATTTGTGCCCTATTTGAAACTAAAGTGGGCGGGGTGGCGATCTCATCTTAAGATAACGTCTAGACAATAAGACTGTAAATGCACTTGAATCTTGTTGTATGTATCACACATGGTGTGAGTTGAAAAAAATCAGTGAAATTCATCTATACACAACAAAAAATTAAAGTATTAGAAACCAAAATTTAGAAATAAATTTATTTTTTAAGAACAAAATATTTTTGTTACGAAAAAAGCCATAATTATATTTTTAATGACGAAAATTGAACATTAGTGATAAATTATTATCTTTTTGGGACTAATTTTTTTGTCAAAAGAAAAGAAAAAAATAAGAACGAGAACTCTAATAATTTATTTGAATGATTAAAGAAGTGAGAAATAGTAAGAAATGTTAAATAAAAAGACTCTTAAAAATCATTCTCACCAAAATTAGTGAGATTTGATAAGAAATCAAAATTACTATATAAATTTTAAAAAATATCTAAATTGCCCATCTAACTACAATACATTGAAAATAAAAATAACACATACATCCACTTTTCTTAATTGTTCATCCCAAAGAAAAAAAAAAAATACAATTATTATTTTTCTTTCCTCACCTAAATGAAAAAAGAACAAAGAAAAATCATATTCTTACCATTAGTAAGAAATGTTAAATAAAAAGACTCTCTTAAAAATCATTCTCACCAAAATTAGTGAGATTTGATAAGAAATCAAAATTACTATATAAATTTTTAAAAATATCTAAATTGCCCATCTAACTACAATACATTGAAAATAAAAATAACACATACATCCACTTTTCTTAATTGTTCATCCCAAAGAAAAAAAAAAAATACAATTATTATTTTTCTTTCCTCACCTAAATGAAAAAAGAACAAAGAAAAATCATATTCTTACCATTTTTATTTCACACCTTGTTTACCAAATGGATTACAAATACTATATATATATATATATATCTTCAAATTTGTGTGAGCATTTTGAGATTTGTTGGAATGCAAACAGAGTCACCATTGAAACACTGTGATGCAATGACTGAATACACAGCTTCAGTAGGATGAAAACCATCCCAGAAGAAGTGTTCATTTGGGTTGGCGCATGGTGCTATCTCAGGGATGCATGCTGATGTCCCATTTAACCAGGTTGTGCAGCATGGATCACTTGTGTCTGTTAGCCCTAAGACAAGTATATAACAACCAAAATTTAGTAAATCTAGTTACTCAGAAAAAGCGACAATAAGTTTTATTGAGAATTTTAAAATGTGGCTCAGATTGAATTTGTGTATTGAGAAATTTATACATAGAATGAATCTGAATCAGAGGCGAATATTTCTAAGTTGAATTATAGGTAGATTTTTTGAATGTGTAGTATTAGTGATGAAAATTAGTATGACTTTTGTTAACTTAAAATGGCCAATTAGGAAGGATATGTGTGTATATATATTGGAGTAAAATACAAAATCATCCCTGATGTCTCCATGTTTGGTTGAGTTTTCAAAAGTATCGAAAAATGTCAACATCTGATGAGGTCTAGAATCAATCTGAATATTCTGAATTTCTTGATTGCTTAGAGAAGGGGAGGTGAATCTTAAATAGTACTGATGAAGCGTCATTTTTAATGCATCTAAATCTTTAATAAGCATGCATCACATCCATAGAAATTCAATGAATAAAAATAGACATCTTTAATGAGCAATCAAAAAGCTCGAAGAAGCCAAATCTACGTGAAAGACCTAACAGTTTATGATTGATTAGAACTTGAGTTCAAAACTCGTCAAATTTTGAGGGGTGTTTCTATATTTTAATTTTCTTATTTTTTTTTCAAGTTAAAAAAATTAATTTTACCATAGGTAGAGGGATTTCTGATAGCGTCATAGGTGAGCCCGTAATCATGGCCAAGGATGAAAGCCGAGCCAGGGAGAGTAGATGTCAATTTGGATAGCACAGTAGCAAGTTGATCATTGAATAATGAAACAAGGTTGTTGATCTCTTCAACACACTGTCCATATTTGTGCATATATTGCCTTGAAATTGATGGTTGACACCCAATTGGTCCTATTTCAAATGTTATTACTTTTCTGGCTCCTAATTTGTATAGTCTCTGCAGGTAAAAAAATAAAAATCAAATCAAGTTAGTGTATTTCTTCAGAGAAAATCACTAACAAATTAGCAACAGATAAAGCATATTATACTAAAAAAGGTAATATCACTTTGGTCCATGGCCCTATATGATTCACAAATAAGGTGGAATAGGATTATTTTAGTTTGAGAAAAAAATTATTTTGTATTTTGAAGCATATTTTGTGATTTGAGATAACTTATTATGAAATTATTCAATCGTGCATACACGGGATAATTATATCTCAAAAAAAGTAGGATAACTTATCACAAAAGATAAATTTTACACAAAATAACTAAAATTTTCTTATCAAGATAAATCATTTCTGAATAATTTAACTCTCCTTATACTATCCGTGATCCAAATAAGGTCTATGTTTGATGTAATAAAAGTCATATATAAGAGAGAAAGAGAGAGAGGTGTTAATTTAAGCTTTTTTATCCGGTAAGTTTGGGAATTTTTCATGTAATCCATAGCTTTTTTATATGGTAAGATAGGAATTTTTTCAAAACAATCAAAATACCCTCATCGGAATAAGTCATCTTTGGATAAAATTTATATCTATATGGGAGAGAAAATGGGGGGAGGGGGGCTAACTTATTAGGGAAGGTTTTTTATAGGTGGACCATCATATAAGAATTTTATCAGTAGATAACTAAAATACAATTATTAGAATAACTCATTTTTGAATAATTTATTTCGTTTTATCTTATCTGCGAATCAAACAAGGATTATGTTGGTGCAAATCGAATATTTTAATATGAAAAATAATATTTTGTAAATAAAATATTATGTAAAAAATTATGTTTAAATAAAACAAATATAATAATAATAGTAGAACTTGGTAGATTTCATGTAAAGACAAAGAAATAGGGAGAAGGATGGAGAAGACGAGATATTTGTAATATTAAAATATGGGTAAATTATAAATACACTTTGAGATTTGCTTAAAATATAGATTGCCCTCTATGGTTTGAAAAATTATAAATACTCTCTTATTAGAATTTTTTATTTAACAGAATTAACTAAAAAAATAAAATTCATAATTGCTCTCCTATACAATAATAAAATTACCTAAATTATTAATTGAAACATATTTTTAACATCATTAAAAGCTGTTAATTGATTTGATGATTTATTAATAAAATGAGCGATTTGTTATGAAATTAAAAACTTCAAATGGTGAAATATAATTTTCAAAACTATAAGAGACAATTCATATTTTAATCAAATTTCAAGAATGTATTTGTAATTTACCCTTAAAATAATAATCTTCAAGTAGATTGAATAGCCCTAGAATTGCCCGTGTTGCTTCTTCTTACCGACTTGGTGAAGTCGGTTAGCCCTCATTTGGCAATTGGGTTAATTTGATTTTTTTTTTTCCTGGATTAAATTAGTTATAAAAAAATAAAATAATTTTAAAAATTAATAGCATAAAATGTCATATTTAAATCATAATTATTTTATTTTAATTTCTCATAAAAATTAAAAAAAGGTCAAAAAAACCAATCCAACCAATTTTTTTTAGCTCAGACTAAAATCGTAAAAAAAAAAAAAAAATCAAAATGTTAAAAAATTAATCCAACTTTCCAGACGAAGCCATGTATTGATGTGGTCTCTTGTTGAGCAAATATGGAGTATGGAGCATGGAGCATGGGATTTAGTGTCTCTCTCCGCCAATGATTTATATTTATTATGATTATTATTGTCTTGTGTTGTGTTTTAAAATAATTTGTAAGAGCTTTTTGTGGTAAAGTTTTGAATTTTACTTTCTATATAGATATGGTTTAATCAATATGATGTATTGTCGGGTTGGCTGTTGTATTCTAAAAAAGACAAGTCAGAGATGATCTGCTGCATCAGACGATTTTAAAGGATTTGCTAACCGTAGGATCTTAAATCAGTCAGAAATGATCTGCTGCATCAGATGATTTTGAAAGATTTGCCAACCAAAGGGACTTAAATCTCTTTAAATCTAATGAGATTATCGCGTTACAGTCCACTTTATAAAACTATTTATTTTTTATAACCATTATTATTTTAGTGATAGTGAATTATGCATAATCACATAATTTAATATGGTGGACAAAAGGGTAATACTGGTAGACGTAGGCTAAGTTAGTTGAATCATGTTAAATTTGGTGTCTATTCTGGCTCAATATTTTATTTTTGGTCCTAATTTAATTTAAATTTAATAAATACCTCAGCAATCATGTTTAATGTAATAAAAAGTCATTTAAGAGAGAGAGGGTTTACCTCAAGTTTTTGGGATAGAGATTGTGTGAGAAGTTGGGCAAAGGAGAGAGGAGAGTAAAGTCTGCTTGAATAGCTATTGGGTTGGAGGTAGTTGCCGCTGTAGTCGTTAGACCCTGTAGCTATGAGAAAGATTGACTTTGACAAGTACTCTAATAGCCCTTCTGTGTTTTTGAAGAGCTTTGGTAAATCCTCTCTAACTGTTTTTTCAAACAAATCAATTTGCTCATCCAAATTCAAGCATTTTCCCTGCAAACAAACAGCCCACAAGAATGGTATATAATTAAGAAGAGAATAAAGTTACACGTACTAATTAATATATTAATTAGTGTACTAATAAATAATATGACATAATTTTAAAATTTTTGTAATTTGTATGTTTTTTCAAACAAATCAATTTGCTCATCCAAATTTAAGCATTTTCCCTGCAAACAAACAGGCAACAACAATGGTATATACCATTAAGAAAAGAATAAAGTTATACACATCAATTGATATATTAATTAGTATACTAATGGATGATGCGGTATAATTTTAAAAGTTTTGAATGTGGTCTAAAATTTTGAAGTGACAATATCATAACATATGTTGGTATACTAATTGATATACCAATTGGTGCATGTAATACAAGGAAAATGTTTGAGGGCCACAATTTTTGTGGCCACAATGGCTCAAAACTGTCAAAATGACGTCGTTTTGGGTGCAAAACATGCCAAAATGACGTCGTTTTGACAGTTTTGAGTCATTGTGGCCACAAAAATTGTAACCCTCTAGCGTTGTCGGTAATACAAATGTTAAGAAAATATTCATGTAAGGTCACTAATTTTGAATTATGGGCTTAATTAGTTATTGGCTTAATATGGATTTATAAACTTGTATCTAAAAAAATAGTAACCAACAAAAAATAAAAATTTGAAAAAGTCCAACCCCGCCTTCTTTATTTTTGACTTATATAAAATGTGGAGTGGATTATACTGTTCAATTTACTTAAAATGTCGAATGGATTAGTAGCCTGTTAAGTCCATTTGAGAAAAGTTCACAATTTTCAAGTATAAAAAGCATGTCAAGTGATGATTGGCACCCATGATGATGTTAATATACCAAAGGATAGCAATCATACCTAAAAATGTCATTCTATTCTAGCACTTGCCACTATAAAAATTTAATATTCATAATTTTAGGGACTACAACTCGGCCAACCTTAACCGGGGTAACTTGAGCTCTATTTGCAAATTTGACAGTTTGGGCAGTATGATTTTAAACCTAATCATGATCTAAGTTAAAATTTTTCCACTCAAATTAAATTTGCTCATGTTCATTTATTTTTCTTTAATTCTATAGGTTCTTTAGTTAGGGATTTTAATCCTTGTAAAAAAAATATTGTAATATTATTTTGGACAAATTATACCTAAAGTCTCTCTTTTTTTTCAATATTTTTTTTTGGGGTATTAATTTGGTCATATTTCTGTTTGGGATCTTCCAAATAAATCTATTCTTTTTTCAATTTTTTTAGTCTTTGGTGACTTTTTTAAAAACTATGTCAATTTTTTTTTTTTCTCTTCCATTCCTTTTGTATTGATGAATCTAAAAAATAATTTTTTTTGAAAAGTTTCAAAATAAAAAGAAAAATCCAAAATAAGCAACAAAAAAAAGAAAAAAAAAGAAAAAAGAGTTATTTTTTTGCTTATTTTTGTCTTTTCAAATTTTGAAAAATTTTCCAGTTTGTTCGTCGAGTAGAATCTAAAAACATAAAACTTTTTGAAATTAAAAAAAAAAAAAAAAAAAAAGGAAGAAGAAGTTAATTAAAGACAAACACAAACCAACAATAAACCTACCAAAAAAGCAAACCCCGAACTATGAGTGGACAAACATTTGGCTAGGCTGGTAATATACAATACGAATATGCTTATCATCCCAAATCTGGCCCAGCTCGATATTGGGCCTAATCTTTCCATCTCAAGCTTTTAGTTTTAAGAATGTATAAATCTCAAAGATGTCCACTTAACTCAATATGAATTATTAATTTTTTTCCTCTTAAAAAACTATTAAATTATTTAAACTTTTTAATAACTATTTGAATTTAAATATTAATAAAACTCAATTATAAAATAAATATAACCATTCAAGAAGTGATTTAATTTCCCTTATATTTGTACTTTTCTTTATCATTTATTATTTTTTTAATTTATTTTATAACTAGCTAATATAAAAAATTAAAATTAATATTTTCTAGATGTGCAGCCAGGTCAAGTTGGGCTAAAACTCTTTATTTCAAACCAAACCAAACCAAACCAAGCCAAGCCAAGCCAAGTCTTAAGTTTTATTAAATGCGGTCAGTTATATGAATCATTCTTCTCTATTCGACTCTATCTAAGGTTATTTCATTAGTCAAATTAAAGAGGTTCATATCTCTATTTACTAAACTATCACATATCAATCTAGATCTACCTCTTCCCCTAACACTTCCATTTACTGTCATTGTATCGCATCTGTTCATTACTGCCTCTGTTGACCTCCGTTGTATATGAGCAAACCATCTCAATCTATTCTCTCTCAATTTATCTCTTATCGATACTACTCATAACTATTCTCGAATATACTCATTCTTAACTTTATCTTTTCTAATCTTGCCACACATCCACCTTAGCATTCTTATCTCAACAACGCTCATCTTATGTACATGTTGTTTCTTGGTTGTCCAATATTCAGATCATACAGCGTCGCTTGTCTAAAAGCCGTTCTACAAAACTTCTTTTTTAGTCTAGTGGGTGCTTGTTTGTCGCACAATACCCTAGATGCACTCCTCCACTTAAGCCACCCCGCTTTAATTCTATGGACCGCATCCGCTTCAATCTCCCTAGTTGCTGTGATAATCGATCTTAAATAACAAAAATGTTCACTTTTAGGTAGTTTTTGGTTCTGAATCTTCACTTCTCCTTTGATTCCATTATTACTTTTACCAAAATTACACTCCATGTACTCTACCTTAGTTCTACTTATCCTAAATCCTTTAGATTCATGTGTTTCTCTACAAGTCTCCAACCTAGTGTTAACTCATTTTATAGTCTCAACTACTAACACGATATCATCTGCAAAAAGTATATACCATGGCATATCATCTTAAATATTTCTCATCAACTCATTTATAACTAAATCAAAAAGATAAGGATTTAATGTTGATCCTTGGTATAACCTTACAGTAATTGAAAATTCACTTTTTTCTCCAGCAGGTGATCTAATAGTGGTCACTACACCTTCATACATATCCCTAATCATACTCTAGACCTATACCAAAAATTTCACTGGACTTATACTAGAAATTTCTCTGGCCCTATACCAGAGAATTTGAAGGACTTGCTAAAATTTCTCTACACCGATAACAAGTATAATCAGAATTTTTCTTCATAGAGAAATTTGTGTAAAATTTCACTATACCTATACCAGAGAAATTTCATTAGACCTATATCTAAAATTTCTCTGTTATGTTGATTTTCTTTGGTCATCACACACTTGCAATCTGAAATTTCACTAGACCTATATTTGAAATTTATCTGTCATGTTGATTTTCTTTGAAATTTCGTTGCAAATGTAATTAGAAAAATTTACTTACACGTTGATTTTCTCTAATAGATTTAATTTTCTCTAAAATTTATCTGCAAATGCAGTCAGAGAATATAACAACCCAAAAATTTAAATTGTCCCTTAAATTTTATATTCGTATTATTTAATTATAAATGAGAAAAACCCTCAATGTTTAATTAAAGATTCCGTAAAAGTAAAATAAAATATTGAATATTATGGGTGTATGAGATAAAGTGTAATTAAATTAGAGATTATATATTATCGAAATAAAAATGGTATATAATTAGTTTAAAATTTGGGCCACAATAGAATTGATCCTAAAGTTAAGTATTTTAGATAAATATTATTAGATAAGTATGAATTAATGGCAAGTGAATGGGACTTAGACACGCGGACAGCCTTGTGGCTTGTTGCCCACGGCTATCTCTCCACAAATTGGAGGTATTGCTCAGGATTGCTAAGAGGAAAGAGAAGGGAAATAAACTAAGAAAAGGAAAAAAAAAATAATGGAAGTGGAGAGGGTCTTTGGTAGTGGGAAGAAAGCGTGAGGTATTAAAGTTAAGGTGAGTTATATTATACCTTGAGTCAACACAATATATTTTACTTATGTTTTGAATTACCATAATTTATTTTATACAATTTGTGTTTTATAAATTATATTAGCATTTTTAATTGGTGAACCTTATTTTATATAATAAGGAAAACCTATGGATATAACTGTTTATTAAAATGTATTTTGAGTAATTATTTTATTGGTACCACCACGGAAGTCCCATACCTTGGGAGACTTAAATAAGCATTGGCTCTCTGATTAGTCACTTTGTGACCCTCTGTCTGTCATGGATCCACTGACAATCTGATTTCTAGTGTGGAGCAAAGTGCTATACGAAACTAAGTGCTACACTATTGTGGGAGTCACCTCTAGAGTTCGTACGAGTCACCTCTTGAGTCCATACATCTGTTCTGTTCTGTACTGTGGTTGTGATTTCTGATGTGGAGCAAAGTGTTGTATGGAGCTAAGTGCTACACTACGATATGAGACACCTCTAAAATTCGTACGAGCCACCTCTTGAGTCCATACATCTGTTTTATTCTGTTCTGTACCGTGGTTATGGTTATTTTGTTTATATGATTTCTGTATATATGTCAAATGATTTCCGTATTATATACTCTGTATTTTAATATCAAGCCCTGTTTAGCTAATAATTATCCATGGTGAATTTTATGCCCTTATACTCATAGTATAATATTTCTCACTCTGCCATGTGCTTATCGTTGTTTACCAATTTTCAGGAAACAACGCAATTCAGAAATAATTTTTGGAGAGTCTTAAATGCGGAGCTGCAGAATAGACACACATAACACTTTCATAGTACTTATAATTCTAATTTTCATATGTAAATATTGGCCTTTTTAGTCAATAAATTTTGCTATAAAAATATAAACTCCAATGATTATTTTGGTACCATCACTTAAATATTTTTTCGCTCGTGTTTGGTAATTTATTTAAGAATTGGCTGGAGGTAATTTCAGTTACTGGCCATCACGATACTTAACCCTTGGGTACGCGGAGCGGGTCGTGACAGAGAAATTGACTTGCATATTGATTTTCTTTAACACATTTGGTTTTCTCTAAAATTTCTCTGCAAATGTAATCAAAAAAATTT